TCTCCTCTGCCCCTCCGACCGCTGGCTCCCGCCCGGCTGCCCAGACACGCGGATGTACCTGCCTGCCATAGCCGGTTCCCTCCCAGCAAAAGAGCGTTTCTTTTCCTCTAGAGAGACTTGGAAAGGTGTCCGGACGGTTAGGCGATGGCTTCTGTTTTGACCGCCAGCAGCAGGAGGCTCCAGAGCAAAACCCGCTCCCTGGCCCGGCTGCGTGCCTCGCCATCGCCCCGCCACGGGACGCCACGAGACCCGAGGAACTGTTAGGCGAGACAGACAAAATTACAGGTGTGGCTCTGCCCAGAGCCGCGTGAGCGCAGGCAGCCACGCAGTCGCTGTGGGCCGCCCTCCGAAAGGGAGCCACGCGCGCCCCAGTGCCCTGGAAGGGGTTAGTTGTTAATTAGAGCTGAAGAAGCTGCCGAGAGCCACAGATGTTTGGTGTTTGGAAACACAACATGCCATGAATCATCCGGTAAACGGATAGAGCAGATGGATGGTTTCAATATCCTGCTCTTTCTGTATAAGCTGGCCCCCCTACAGCAGGATCTTCAGAGCCTAACGCCGTGCAGATCCCCTCCGCCGTCTCTGCGCACCTCCGCAACGGCAAAGGGAGATGAGACAGCACTGGTCTCCAGCCTTCGTTCCTGTCTGCCAGCACGGTTTTACCGGTCTGCTTCCACACTACACCAGCAACAAGAGTCCCGCTCGCACCTAGAGAACGCTGTCCCACTGTACAACAGACCTCCTTGCTTAAGGAAGTCTGAATCCCAGCCCCAGTCAAGCACCTCCTCACACCAAAACATTGCACCAGCCACCTCCGCCTGCCCCTTTTGGCCAGGAAGGAGCTGCTGGATGGCTGTGGAGGCTGGCTGCGTGGAGAGGGGGCGTCCGCTGGGGGCTACCAGCCTCACCAAGACTGTGGTTACTCTCATCGCCTCCCAGGGGAAGAGGAGATGAAGATCCTAGGCAGGACAGTGACCTGGTGTCCTTCACTCAGGACTTCCCTCTGGGGGGACAGCAAGGGCATGGCACGGTTTGTGCCCGAGGCAGGAAAGAAGCAGAGGTGGAGAGCATTTATGTCTCCCCAGGGACCCCATCTACCCATCCTCTCTCCCATCAGCTTCCTGAGTGCAGGGCACGGATGGCGTTTTGGCTGGCAAGCGGGCTGCAGGACAGAGGGAGCATGTGCTTGCACCGCGCTCTGGGCCGGTCCGGAGCCAGGCACCCGAGCCGGCTGGCAGCGCCGACAGTCATTCCTGCAATTCTTGGAACAGGGCAAGAGATGTATTTGGTAACCACTAGCAACGCGTTTCAGCGAGAAGCTTGTCAAAATGAGGATGGACAGTAAAAGGTTATCACAGAGGAAGGGCCTGGTGGCAGACGGAGCACCAGGAACGCAAGGCAACGGCAGCTGGACTCAGAGACTGCCTTTTCCATCCTCTCCTTGATTAGTTTCTCAGCCAGCCCTAAGTCACCTCTCTCCACCCTAGTCCTGACACCAAACCTGCTGGTTACGCTGCAAGGAGCTGGTTGTCCAAGAGTGCATCCTGCTCCCAAAATAACCTGTCCTGGGGGGCCCAGAGACATTGATATTCTCAGCTGGATCAGTCCGGCACAGCTCCACCACCTCGGCCAGCCACGATGGGAAAGCATCACTGGACAGAACAAGCCTTCTTCACAGGCCCCACCGCAGCACCAAAGACAAGACGACCGCCATGCCCGGCCAAGATCAAGCTCACCAGCAGCGCCTGGCAGAGCCGAAGCGGAGATGCGGAGGAGACAGTATCCGCATCAAGGCATTGGGGTGGACTTTGTTCCACCCCGGGTGCCGGGCGATGGATGTCCCCTCCTCCACCGCCTGAGGAACAGCCATTGCTCGCTGTTAGCCTGGCTGAAAATCTGTCATCTAGATTGGGCGTTGGACAGAAAACTCAGGTTTTCACCAAGCAGCGTTCTCCACGAACGGTATCTGTATTTGGCACCGTACCTTACAGTTTAAAAAGAAGCACATGCGGGCGCACGCCAGATCCTAGGGGATGACACGGAGCGGGGAGAGGCTGGCTGAAACCTGCTTTGCAAAACAGCAATTCAGTGAGTGACATCGCTCATGCGTGGGGCAAAGGCTGCAAATACGCTGTGCACCGGTGCTGTGACCCCCGTGGGGGAGCCGGCCTGGCCGGTCCTGCGCCCACGGGGGAGCCCGGCAGCGGGCCCGCGGG